CCCTCTGGCCTCTTTGAGCCCTAGTTTGCAAATCTATGAGGAGGATCATAATTGCTGGTGCCACGGGGTAGCCTCACTCAGAGGCTGACAGGGCCCATATCTGGTCCTGCCTCCCAGCACTCATGAGAGGCATGGATCCCATTTGCTCTCCAACCCCATCTCTACCAGGCTGCTCTCTTACTGTAATCTCACTGTGATCCTTCCTCCCTCCTCTTCTCCCTGTACTTGAAGGGGACCTTTTTCATCCCACCTGGGGACTTTTGTATTTGATTCTCTTCTGCCTGGAATTCTCTTATTTCAGATATCTTGCTTCCTCATATCAAATAGTCTTCAGCTTAAACGTGATCATTTCAGGGGTGACTTGCCAGATGCCTTACTTTTCAAAAACCACTGTCATCACCACCAGCAACCCATTTAAATTTTATTTATCATTTCCCAATACCCACCTGAAATTCCATCAGCATTGTTATCTGAAATTGCCTCACATTTGGTTTCTCAATGATTGTCTGTTCTCCCATAGAATGGAAGGAGTTTGTCTCTCTAGTTCAGCACTCTATCCCCACACCTGGAACAGCATCTTGGCACTTGGTAATTACTGGGTATTTGGTAAATATTTACTAAATATCGTTATTATTAGGAAATAAAAATGAAATAATTCTGAAGAAATTTAGAAAAACCAATGCAGAATTTACTGAACGCTTGCTGAGTACTAAGTAGAGAGAGATTCCAAGCCAATGTAAAAAACAGTTTGCACTAGGTGGCTCAAAAAAGTAAAAGCATAACAAATTAGCATTTGCTATTTTTCTTCCTTGTTTTCTGTCAGTTACTAGTAGATCATTGTAGACTGTAATTACAAGGGAGGGCACAGAAGACAAGCAGATAGAGAAGCCTGGGAAGGCCTCAGCAAGAAGAAAGTGGAAAGGCACTGGAGGCTGGGCCCCAAGCTGGCACTCAGTGTGTCTAAGACACTGTTCAGGGTCCTCATGACAGATCCCATTAGGGCCGCATGTGCCAAATCTCTGCTCACTGCCTGGTGCTAGCACATCTCCAGGTGAGAGGATGGGATGTACGTCTTTTCTGCCTTCTGTTTTCCTCATGTCTCCAGTCAGGCTTTTTGGGAGGATGCATGTGAGCATGTGTGTTTCTTTTCCTTGGCTCCCAAGTCACATCAGTTCACCCCTGGTACTTGGCAACCCAGCACGCTTCCTCCCACTAACGACAAGCCTGTCTGCAAAACAGAACAACATCTTTGAGATGGGGTGTTTATCTAGGCAGCACACAGCCTCTGCAGCCCACAGGGGCCCCTCCTTCAAAGGCATTGCTGAACAGGGCTCACCTGATGAAAGCCTGAACTGTGCATGCTTGACTTGATTTACGGGCAACGGCCAGCTCATTAGGCGCAGTGGCCTGAGGAAGCCAGCCAGCTGTGGGGACAAATGTTTTTGGAGCTCTGTGATGCCCACAGGGCTGCTTGCAGCTTGGGGGCAGGAGTACAATGGGGACAGTGATAAGGAGCTCTGGAATCCATGCCTGGCTCAGGGAGCGTTAACTACCCACGAGATTGATATCTGGGGTGCAAAGGCTATAAAATTAGATTAATTTAGCTCAGCTGTTCTCGCTGAAGGATTGGGTTGCAGCTGGTGCTGAAACATTAGCAATCAGACCTCAGAGATGGAGGAAAGTCTCACATTGGGAGGGAGGGAGGAAGATGAATCACCCCTCAGCATGCCTGCTCCCCAGGAAAATGATAGCTTATAAAGGTATTCCTGCATTACAGATAATCCTATATCACCAGTAAGAAAGCAAGTTATGTATTCCTTAAGAAATGGCATTAGAAATTGGGAGCACATCTTCTAATCCTGGGAGAGTCACCTGGGACAAACCACTTTAAAAACATTCCCAACTTCACTCTCTTCCTCCATGAAGTAAGACCAAATGATAAAAAATATTTCAAATAACCTGAAAAACAAGTTGACCCTGAATTCTAGTATTTTGTTTAAAATATTAGTTCCAATATTCCCAATTGTACACTGATTTTTCTGTGGCCATGGACCTTGGTCTCCCAAGTTCCTCTCCTTAGAAAATATTTTCACCTGGAAGATTTTCTACCAAAATTCCACACATTCCCAGTTTGCTTCTTAGGCAAAAAGTCTAGCCGACTTCACATTCCACATCACATACAGAACAAGAAGGACAACACTTTTCTCACCAGAGCCCATTGCTGCATGTTAGTTTTGAAGGGAACAGCTCTTAAGTATACTCTTCAGTAAATTGTCACTCTTTTCACTTCTTTTGATAAAGCTTCCTCTAAAAGTTACCATTTGTTAACACTTAATATGTGCCAGGCACCGTGTTAATGCTTTACGGAAGGAGGGCAACTGTTACTCAAATTTATATGCATTGTTCAAGTGTAATTATTAGTAAAGCTACTTCCTGCCTCAAAAGCGTCCACGTTTGAATTATGTTTATGCTCAGCATACATACAATTAATTCACTGGTTAGACGTACGTGTGTGTTCTTTTTAACCAAGTGCACAACCAGTGGTGATACAGTGAACAATAAAGGTTCTGACTATAAAACTGAACATGAAAAATAGAAGAAGCAAAGCCTAGAAAAATAAAAGCCCACTTCTCACTTCTCTAATTCAGAATGTGAATGCTATTTAAGGGTTAGGTTAAAGCTGGCACAGAAGAGATCACTGGCTTTTTAAACTGGAAATTGTAGAACATTTCCCTCAATGAAGGCAGTTTGCTAGGGAGTGACACCTTGCATGATGGAATAAGGACTCACAGAAAATAGAAGACCGAGTTCTCAGCTCTCACCCTGTCATGGACCAGTCACATGATCCAAAGGAAATCATTTTTCTTTCAAGGTCCGTATGTTGTTCTGTTTATTTTTTGCACAAGGAAACACTGGAAGTATAACAAGAAACTGAAAGAAAAACGTCATCTATGGGGTGATTTTGGAATGAAGTGGAGGGAAAGGGAGTTACGTGAGATTTAGAAATCAATGTATGCCTTTTTATTATTTTTGTTTGTTTGCTCTTTTCTGTATATCTTTTTTGTTTCAATAGGTCTTTGGGGAACAGGTGGTGTTTGGTTACATGAATAGTTATTTAGTGATGATTTCTGAGATTTTGGTGCACCCATCACCCAAGCAGTATATGCTGTACCCAACGTATAGTCTTTTATCCCTCAAACCCCTCCCCCCTTTTCTCCTGAGTCCCCAAAGTCCATTAAATCATTCTTATGCCTTTGCTCCTCATAGTGTAGACCTCACTTATGAGTGAGTACATACAATGTTTGGTTTTCCATTCCTGAGTTACTTCACTTAAACTAATGGACTCCAATTTCATCCAGGCTGCTGTGAATGCCATTATTCATTACTTTTTATGGATGAGTAGTATTCTGTGATGTATGTGTGTGTGCACACGCATATATATATGTTATATATATATTATATATATATATATATTACACACACACACACACACACACAAACACACACACACGTTTTCCTTATCCACTTGTTGACTGATGGGCATTTGGGCTGTTTCCCTATTTTTGCAATTGTGAATTGTGCTGCTATAAACATGCGTGTGAAAAGACAAAAGTTAAGATTTTATGTAAATTCCCTCTTTTTTTTAAATGCTTACAGAAAAGTTAAAACTCTGTTCAGGCCAAACAAAATGTGCGTCTCTTGCATCATTATTTAACCTTTGTTAATGGAAGTGGAGAGAAAACAGAAGCACAGAGCATGTACTGGAGACCAAGGCTTGGAGACAGATGGAAGAGAGATAAAAATGAAAAACTCCAGGAAGTGCAATGGAGCCAAAGTTGAAGTTGGTTTCCCCCAGCCATCCATGTCCATTGTGACAATGCAGAAGCTAACTCACTTTCAACTTTAATTAGTCACCTGGCGATTAAGAAATATGGCCAGTAAGCACGGCCAGTCAGGAGGCCAAGAGATGGCAACGGGCAAGGCAAGAGGATGAAAAGAATGTTTTCTACACCTCAGCGTGGCAGTGCATGTATCTGTTTAGGTAAGCCTCACACTGAGTGCAGAGAAGCAAATGGAGCCCATCCAAGACTGGCTAATATGTCACTGACCAGAGCTAAATATTGCTATTATGCCTTGGCTAAAGCACTCAAGAGACAAGACCAGTACTGAATGCTTTCATTCACAGCACCATGTAAATATTTTTCACATGACCTGAGTCAAATAGTATACTATAATTACATTTCCCTTTTTGCTTGCTTTTTCCCTTCTAGGGTTAATCACTGTCTATTTTAATAGTTTTTTAAATTGACCTACCACTGATTTATCCCCAAACTTCCATCAGAACTCTAAAACTTCTCTTCCTCTAGAATGGCGACTCAAGGTTTGCCAAGCAGCTGTGATCCTAGACGTTCACTTCACCACCAGGCTGGTAGCTTCCTTTGCTTCTACTCATAGATCAAACATCTACTGTTTTTGCTTTTACTCCACATATTGGCATATAATACCTTCTTCCTAAGATACAGGGTGATATATTTTTAGATGTTCTTATTGCAAACACATTTATTTTTCCTATATTTGATTAATAGCGGGGCTAGATATGGAAACAATTTTCCCTCAAAATTTTGAAAGCATTATTTTACTGTCTTCATTTCTGGTTCTGCTTAGGGAATTCTGTGCCATTCTGATTCTTACCCTTTGTATATGATGTACTTTATTTCCCTGGATGCACATATATATTATTTTTATGCCAATGTTCTAAAGTTTTTAATTCATAAACTTTTGTCCAAATTATAAAGCTTTGCCCAGTTTTGAAGATTAGCAAAAACAAGTCAGATTTGTCACTTCACTATAAATTAAAAAAAAAAAAAAAAGAGTTACAAAACAAAGAATCTCATGTTCGCAAGGTTCCCTGATGCTTCTGAGTCTGCTGTGAAAGTGAATCTAGAATATAGTGCTCTCAACAAACTGCACAGATGATGGCAAGGCTAGTGGAACTCTGGAGCACAGGATCACTGCCTTCTGTACAATGGTACTAGGCACATTAGATCCAGGGAGCCCCCATTCCTGTATTCAGAAATCTATTCTGTGCCACAGTTGTATCTATTGTTGGCATATTTCTTTTTTAAAAAGACTTTTAAGTTCAGGGGTAAAGTGCAGGTTTGTTTGAGGGGTACAAGTGCAAGTTTGTTCCATAGGTAAAATTGGGTCATTGGGGTTTGTGTACAGATTATTTTGTTATCCAGGTATTAAGCCGAGTACTCATTAGTTATTTTTCGTGATCCTCTCCATCCTCCCACCCTCCAAACTCCAATAGGCCCCAACATGTGTTTTTCTTCTCTATGTGTCCATGCGTTCTCATCAATTAGTTTCCACTTCTAAGTGAAAACATGTGGTATTTGGTTTTGTTCCTGTATTAGGTTGCTAAGCATAATGGCCTCCAGTTTCATTCATGTCCCTGCAAAATACATATTCCTGTGCTTTTTTTATGGCTGCATAATATTCTATGGTGTATATGTAACACATTTCCCTTATCTGGTCTATTACCGATGGGCATTTATGTTGATCCCGTGTCTTTGCTTTTGTGAATAGTGCTGCAATAAACAAATATGTGTTAGCATATTTCTTACTGTGTCATCAGTCCTGTGCATATTTTCTCTTTTTAAAATTTATTCTTCTTAATATTAAGCAGGGCCTTTCAATCTGGGGACTTTTGTCCTTTGGTTCTAGTAATTTTATTATTTATTTGAGACTTCCATGTATTATCTCTTTGTGAAACTCCTATTAGTTAGTTGACTAATGATTTCTCAACACAAGCAAATGATAAATGTTTGAGGTGAAGCATGTTTTAATTGCCCTGATTTTATCATTACACATTGTACACATGTGTCAAAATATCACATGTACCCCCATAAATATGTATAATAATTATGTATCAATTTAAAATGAATTTCCTCCCATTTTCTAATCTTTGGTTTTGAATTCTAATTTTTATTTGTCTTTAAATCTTCTTTTGAATTATTCATTTCTATTACCCATCATTTTCAGTAGTTTTTTTTCAGTGCATATGTACACATACACACACAAGGTATAATATATGACATGATATATAATAGCATATGTTACACATAATATAATTTTATAATATATTTGATTGTATAACATCTGTGTAATATAATACAATGTTATTATATAATATACAAGATACCTCCTTTTATTGTGCTTTGCCTTATGTGTCACAGATTTCATGCTTTTTGCTAACTGAAGGTTTGTGGCAACCCTGTACGGAGGAAGTCTATTGGCACCATTTTTCCAACAGTCTGTACTCACTTCATGTCTCCGAGTTACATTTTGGAAAATCTTCTAAGATTTCAAGGTTTTCCAATACCATAATGTCTCTCATGGTGATCTGTGATTAGTGATACCCCGTATTATCATTGTAACTGTTTGGGAGCACCAGTAACTGTGTCTATATAAGATGAAAAACTTAATTGATAAATCTTGTGTGTTCTAACAACTCCATCGACCAGCCATTCCCTCATGTTTCTTTCTCTCTTTAGGATTGCCTATTCCCAGAGAAACAATAACATTGAAATTAGGCCAAATAATAACCCTACCATGACCTCTAAGTGCTCAAGTGAAAGGAAGAGTCATAAGTCTCTTAAGCTTAGAGAGCAAGGCATAATGAAAGTCAAGACAGGTTGAAAGCTAGGTTTCATGTACCAAACAGCCAAGTTTTGAAGGCCAAGGAAGAGTCTTGAAGGAAGTAAAAAGTGCTATTTCAGTGAACACATGAATTATAAGACAGTGAAACAGACTTATTGCTGATACAGAGAAAGATTTAGTGGTGTGGATAGAAGATTAAACCAGTGATAACATTCTCTTGAGCCAAAGGCTAATTCCAAGTAAGGCCCTAACTTTATTCAATTCTGTGAAGGCTGAGAGAGGTGAGGAAGATGCAGGACAATCATTTGAGGTGAACAGAGGTTGGCTCATGACGTTTAAAGAAGGAAGCTATCTTCATAAAATCAAAGTGTAAAGTGAAGGTAGGACGAAAACCACAATGGCCAACTAGATGCAGCCAAGAAGAATTTCTTCCACCAAGAGACCAGACCATCAAGAAGACTGGCACACTACAAGCAGATCTTCAGAAGGAAGGCACTGAGACAGGATGAAGGGGGGATGTAGACCCTGGGCTGAGGTGGGGAGGAACCTGGGAAAATCTGCACAGCATTTCTGGGCACCAGGACTTGTTCATGGCATTGAATAGTTCCTAGGGAAATGGATGAGTTTCATAGACATAGAGTATCCCGGTTTCACCACAAGTTCCAGAATCCTAGCTTCAGGAGACCCAAGGACCCCCATAGACATTTGAACTTGCAGGAAGAACGAGTTTGAAACTTATCAGGGATAGGACTCCAGCTTGTGTGGAACCCAGAGGGTTTGGCATGGGTATGAATGTAGTGGAGCATGGCCAGGGACGCCCATCCTCCAAGGTTTGCCATGCTCCTCTAGATAGTTTTTGGTCATTCCTGACTGTTGGAACTGGACAGAACATGGTGATCTTGCCCATGGGATGGGGCCTGTCTGGTGTGAACAACCCTCCTGTCTGCTGGTTCCTTCCAGGGTCCCTTCCTGGCTGCACCCACCTGTAACCCAGTCACAGACGCCCAATTAGGGCACTTAGTGGCAGCTGCTGCCATAGCTTCTTCATTGGAAGACCCCACCTAACATCAGAAAGCTTCTACAGATGGACTGCCACCAGTGGGCACCCATCCTCAGCCTGCCCCCCCTGCTTTGCTGGTGCACAGTTGCCCACAGCCTCTTTCTACCACTTTGCCAGCACTTGTTTGCTCATGGACCTCACTGCCCAACTACCCTTGGTGCATGCACACATATGTGAGCATGGGCCACTGCCCAGTGAAGTGCTTTTGCTGGCATCCTATACTGGAGACTAGAGTGCTGTTCCCAGCAGACTGGAAAAAATTCAGCTCCTACAGCAAAGAAGGTGCTGTACCTCGAAGGGGAGAGGACAAAGCAGTGGGCCTGGTCTCAGTCCCCCAGAGTTAGAGCATGCAGCCTGGGAGTGCTGAGCTGAGTCTTGGCTCCCTGAAATAATCCAGAAAGAAAGCCAGTCAACTCGACTCAACTTACACCACAGTCAAACCCGCTGGGGAGCAAAGAATATAAAAGCAAAAAGCTCTATCCAAAGGACAGCAACTTCAAAGATTAAAACAACATTAACCCACACTGATGAGAAAGAGTCACCTGTACAAGAGGTCCAGCAACTCAAAAAGCCAGAGTGTCTTCTTACCTCCAAATGACTACACTAGCTTCCTGGCAATGGTTTTAGCCAGAATGAGATGGCTGGAATGACAGGCATAGAGCTGAGAAAATGGAAGGCAAGGAAAATCATCAAGATTCAGGTGAAGGTTGAAACCTAATCCAAGGAATTTAAGGAATCCAGCGAAGTGTTACATGAGCCAAAAGAGCAAATAGCCATTTTAAGAAAGAACCCTAGTGATCTAAAAGACCTGAAAAAATCTAACTACAAAAATTGTATACTACAATCCAAAATATTGATAGCAGTACAGACAAAGCTGAGGAAAGAACTTCAGAACTCAAAGACCAGTTCTTCAAATCAAGTCAGTCAGACAAAAATAAAGAAAAATGAACAAAACATCCAAGAAATATAGGATTATATAAAGAGACCAAGCCTATGACTCATTAACATCCCTGAAAGAGAGGAGAAAGAACATGCAACTCCAAAGATGACCATTCCGAAGACACGTCGTCATCAGATTCTCCAAAATTAATGCAAAAGAAAAAAGATTAAAGGCAGCTAAAGAGAAGAAGCAGGTCATGTACAAACAGAATCCCATTAGTATAACAGTGGATCTTTCAGCAGAAACCCTACAAACCAGAGGAAATGTGGACCTATATTCAACATCTGTAAACAAAAGAAATTATACCAATAATTTTTAATCCAGCCAAACTAAGCTTCACAAGCAGAGAAATGAAATCCCTTTAGGACAAGCAAATGCTAAGGGAATTGGTTACCACCAGATCTACCTTTAAGAGTTCATTAAAAGAGTGCTAAACATGGAAGTAAAACACTGTTACCAGCCACCACAAAAACACATGTGAGTACATAGACCGTTGATCCTAAGAAGCAACTATACAATCAAGTGTAAAAACCAACTAAATAATATAATGATGGGATATAATTGGCACATATCAATATTAACCTTGAATATAAATGAGCTAAATACCATCACTTAAAAGGCACAGAGTGGCAAGTGGGATAAAGAGGCAAGATCCAAATGTATGCTGTTTTTAAGAGACCCATCTCACATGCAGTGACACTCATAGGATCAAAGTAAAGAGATGGAGAAAAATCTATCAAGCAAACGGAAACAAAAAAGCAGTTGTTGGTTGCTATTCTTATTTCAGCCAAAACAGACTTTAAACCAGCAATGATAGAAAAGTTCAAAGGGCAATGCATAATGATAAAAGGTTCAATTCAATAATAAGACCTACCTTGAATATATATGCACCCAATACTGGAGCACCCAGATGCATAAAATAAGTTCTTGAAGACCCACAAAGAGACTTGGATAACATACAGTAATAGTGGGAGACTTCAATGCCCCACTGCCAGTATGAGATCATTGAGGCAGAAAACTAACAAACTGTTCAGGACCAAAATTTGACACTTGGTCAAATGGCTCTAACAGACATCTACAGAACACTCCACCCAAAAATAAGAGAATGTACATTCTTCTCATGTGTACATGGCACATAATCTAAAATCAACCATATGCTTAGCCATAAAGCAATTCTCAACAAATTAAAAACAAAACATAATCATACCAACCACAGCTAAAGCAGTGTTAAGAACGTTTATAGCACTAAAAGCCCAAATCAAAAAGTTAGAAAGATCTCAATTAATAATTTAACATCACACCTACAGGAACTAAAAACACAGGAGCAAACCAACCCCAAAGCTATCTGAAAAAAGGAATAACCAAAATTAGAGCAGAACTGAATGAAATGGAGACAGATAATATAACATAAAAGATCAATGAAACCAAAGGTTTTCTTTTTAAAGAATAAGTAAGATTGATATACTGGTAGCTGACTAATAAAAAAGAAGATCCAAATAAATAAAATCAGAAGTGACAAAGGGAATATTACCACTGGCCCCAAAGAAATGTAAAAAACCCTCAAAGACTATTATGAACACCTCTATGCACACAAACTAGAAAACACAGAAAAAATGAGTACATTCCTGGAAACATACAACCACCTAATATTCAACCAGGAAGAAACTGAAACCATGACCAGACCAATAATTATTTCTGAAATTGAATCAGTAATATATAAATTATGTGCAGAAAGCTGAAACTGGACCCCTTCCTTACATCTTATTCAAAAATTAACTCCAGATTGATTAAAAATTTAAACATAAGACCTAACATACCCTAGAAGAAAACCTAGGCAATACCACTCAGAACATAGGCATATGCAAGGACTTCATGACTAAAACACCAAAGCAATGGTAACAAAAGCCAAAATAGACAAATGGGATCTAATTAAACTTAAGAGCTTCTGCACAGCAAAAAAGCAATCATTAGCAAGAACCAGCAACCAATAGAATGGGAAAAAATTTTTGCAAGCTACCCATCTGACAAAGGGCTAATATCCACAATCTACAAAGAACTAAAACAAATTTACAAGAAAAAAACAACCCCATCAAAAAGTGGGCAAAGGATATGAACAGACACTTTTCAAAAGAAGATATTTATGTGGCCAACAAACTTATGGAAAAATGCTCATCATCATTGGTCATTAGAGAAATGCAAATCAAAACCACATTAAGATACCATCTCATGCCAGATAGAATGGCAATCATTAAGAAATCAGGAGACAACAGATGCTAGAGAGGATGTGGAGAAACTGAAACACTTTTACACTGTTAGTGGGAGTGTAAATTAGTTCAACCATTGTGGAAGACAGTATGGTGATTCCTCAAGGATCTAGAAGTAGAAATACCACTTGACCCAGCAATCCCATTACTGGATATATACCCAAGGATTATAAATCATTCTATTATAAAGACACATGCACATGCATGTTCATTGTGGCACTGTTTACAATAGCAAATACTTGGAACCAACCCAAATGCCCATCAATGATAGGCTGGATAAAGATATACACCATGGGATAGTATGCAGCCATAAAAAAGGATGAGTTCATGTCCTTTGTAGGACATGATGAATCTGGAAACCATCATTCTCAGCAAACTGACACAAAAACAGAAATTCAAACACCGCATATTCTAACTCATAAGTGGGTGTTGAAGAATGAGAACACATGGTCACAGGGAGGGGAACATCACACACTGGGCTCTGTTGGGGCTAGGGGGCTAGGGGAGGGATAGCGGGTGGTAGGGAGATTGGGGAGGAATAACATCAGGAGAAATACCTAATGTAAGTGACGGGGGGATGGAGGCAGCAAACCACCATGGCATGTGTATACCTACGTAACAATCCTGTAAGATCTGCACAGGTACTCCGGAACTTAAAGTATAATAAAAAATAAATAATTAATTTATCTACTAACCAAAAAAAGTCCTGGGACACATACATTCACAGCTGAATTCTACCAAATATATAAAGAAGAGCTGGTAGTAATGCTATTGAAAGTATTCCAAATAATTGAGGAGGGAGGACTCATTCTATGATGCCAGCATAATTCTGATACCAAAACATGGCAGAGACACAACCAAGAAAACTTCAGGCCCATATGGCTGATGAAAATAGATGCAAAAATCCTCAATAAAAAACTTGCAAGCCAAATTCAGCAGCATATCAAAAAACTAAAAAGCTATCTACCATGATCAAATAGGCTTTATTACAGGTATGTGAATTTGATTCAACATATACAAATCAATAAATGTGATTCATTATATAAACAGAACTCAAAGTAACAATCACGTGATCAGCTCAACAGCTGCAGAAACTAAGTTTAGCAAGATTCAATGTTCTTCATGTTAAAAACCCTCAATAAACTAGCCATCAAAGGAATATACCTCAAAATAATAAAAGTCCTCTATCAAAAACCCACAGTGAACATCATACTGAATGGGCAAAAACTGGAAGCATTCCCCTTGAGAACAAGACAAACATGCCCACTTTCACCATTCCTATTCAACATAATATTGGAAATCCTAGCCAGAGCAATGAGGCAAAAGAAAAAAATAGAAGGCATCCAAATGGGGAGAGAAAAAATTCAAACCCTCTCATTTTCAGAAATGGTACGATTCTATACTGAGAAAACCCCTAGTCTCTGCCCAAAGACTCCTAGATCTTGATACACAAATCAGCAACATTTCAGGATACAAAATCAATATACAAAAATCAGTCACATTTCTAGACACCAGCAACATCCAGGCTGAGAGCCAGATCAAGAACATAGTCCCAGTCACATTGGCCACAAAAGAATAAAATACCTAGGAATACAGCTAACCAGGGGGGTGAAAGAAATCTGCAATGAGAATTACAACACATTGCTCAAAGCAACCAGAGGTGACACAAACAAATGGAAAAAGAGTCCACAGTCATGGACAGGAACAATCAATGTTATTAAAATACCCATACTTTCCAAAGCAATTTACAGATTCAATGCTATTTGTATCAAACTACCAATGACATTTTTCACAGAATTAACAAAAAAATAAAATTTAAATGTATATAGAACCAAAAAAGAGCCTGAACAGCCAAAACGATTCTAAGCAAAAAGAGGAGAGCTGGAAGCATCAATACCCAATTTCAAACGATGCTACAAGACTACAGTAATCAAAACAGCATGGTTCTGATACAAAAACAAACACAGACCAATGGAACAGTTTAGCAAACCCAGAAATGAAGCTGTACACCTACAACTATTTGGGCTTTGACAAAGTTAACAAAAACAACGAGGAAAGTACACCCTACTCAATAAAAGGTGCTGGAATAACTAGCTAGACTTATGTAGAAGATTGAAACTGGACACCTAATTTCATCATGCACAAAAATCAGGATGAATTAAAGACTTATAATGTAAAAACTAAAACTCTAAAACCCTAGAAAAAAACCTAGGAAACACTATTCTGGACATAACCCCTGACAAATTTTCATGACAAAGATACCAAAAGCAATTGCAACAAAAATAAAAATTGACAAATGGGATCTAACTAAAGAGTTTCTTCAAAGCAACAGAATAAATGAACAACCTACAGAATGGTAGAAAATATTTGCAAACTATACATTCAACAAAGCCCTAATGCCCAGAATCTGTGAGGAAGATAAACGAATTAACAAGAAAAAAGCAAACAACCCCATTAAAAATAGGCAAACAACATAAGTAGACATTTCTCAAAAGAAGACATACACATAGCCAACAAACATATGAAACAATACTCAACATCACTAATCTTTAGAGGAATGAAAACCAAAACCACAATGAAATACCATTTCACACAAGTAAGAATGGCTATTATTAAAAAATCAAAAAATAACAAACTGGTAAGGTTGTAGAGACAAAGAAATGCTTACACATTGCTACTGGGAAGGTAAATTAGTTCAGCCACTGTGGACTACACAGCCGTAAAAAAGAATGAGATCATGTCCTTTGCAGCAACATGGATAAAACTGGAGGCCACTGTCCTAAGCAAATTAATGCAGGAACAGAAAACCAAATACCACATATTCTCTCTTATAAGTGCGAGCTAAACACTGAATACATGTGGACATAAAGAAGGAAATAATAAACACTGGGGCCTGCTTGAGGGTGGAGAATGGCAGGAGGGTAATGATCAATAAACTACCTATCGGGTAGTTCATTACTTGTGTGAAAAAATAATCTGTACACCAAACTCCCACAACATGCAATTTACCCACGTAACTAACCTGTACATGTACCCCCTGAACCTAAAATAAAATTTGGGAAAAAAACTGCAAGGTGAAGAAGCAAGTACTGATGTACACGGTGCAGCAAGTTATCTAGATCTGGTTAGAAAATTAATAAAGGTGGTTATATGAAGCAACAAAATTTTAATGTAGATTAAACAGCCTTATTTTGGAAGAAGATGCCATCTAGAATTCATAGGTAGATAGAAATCAATGCCAAGCTCCAAAGCTTCAAAGGACAGACTGACTCTCTTGTTAGGTGACTTTCAGTTGAAGTCAGTGCTAGGTGACTTTCAGTTGAAGTCAGTGCTAATTTGCCATTCTGAAAATCCTAGGACCCTTAAGACTTATGTCAGATCTACTCTGTGCTCTATAGATAGAAAATCCGCTTACAGCATGATTTACTGAATATTTTAAGCTCACGTTCCTTTCAAAATATTATTGCCCATTAGCAATGCACCTGGCCACCCAAGAGCTCTGATGAAAATATACCAGATTAACATTGTTTCCATGCTTGCCAACACAACATCCTTTCTTCAGCCCATGAAACGAGTAGTTTGGACTTTCAAGTTTTATTTAAGAAATAAATTTTGTATTAATAAAGATGGCTACACTAAGTAACAAAATTTTAATGTAGGTAAAACATCCTTATTTTGGAAGAAGTTGCCATCTAGGATTTCACAGCTAGAGAAAAATCAATGCAAAGCTTCAAAGGACAGACTGACCCTCTTGTTAGGTGACTTTCAGTTTAAGTTACCTTCATAGATAGTGAATCATCTGATGGATCTGGGCAAAGTAAACTGAAACCTTCTGGAAGGGATTCATCATTCTCAATGTTATTAAGAACACTTGAGATTCATAGGAGGAGCTCAAAATAACAACATGAACAGGAGCTTGGAAGAAGTTGATTCCAACACTCATAGATGACTTTGAGAGACTCATGACTTCAGTGAAGGAAGTAACTGAAGATGTTGTGGAAATAGCAAGAAAACCATAATTACAAGTGGAGCCTGAATATATATGATTGAATTGCCACAATCTCATGATAAAACTTGAACAGATGAGGAGTTGCTTCTTATGGATAAGCAAAGAAAGTGTTTTCTTGAAACAAAATATACTCCTAGCGAAGACAGTGTGAACGTTACTGAAATAACAAAGGATTTAGAATATTCCATTAACTTAACTGATAAAGCAGTGGCAAGAATTGAGAAAAACTGGCTCTGATTTTGAAAGAAGTTCTACTGTGGATGATACACTATCAAACAGCAGTGCATGTTACAGAGAAATGTTTCATGAAAGAGTCAATCAGTGTAGCAAACATTAATGTCTTATTTTAAGAGATTGCCACAGACACAGGAACCTTCAGCAATTACCACTCTGATCAGTCAGCAGTCCTCAACATCAAAGCACGACTCACCACCAGCAAAAATATTACAGCTTGCTGAAGGCTCAAATGATTGTTAGCAACTTTTAGCAATAAGATATTTTAATTAGGATATATACACGGCTTTCTTAAATATAATGCTATTGCACACTTCATAGATTACTGTATATTGTAAACATAACCTTTACATGCCCTGGGAAACCAAAACCTTCATGTGATTCCTTTAATTGCAATATTTGCTTTATTGCAGTGGTCTGAAACCAAACCCACAGTATCTCCAAGGCATGCCTCTGTTTTATTATATAAAATTATTTATATATTATTCCTTGTATGTGTGTGGGGGAGGGCGGCATACAGAGGATCTAAAGACCACCAAATGTTTAGATCAATAAATGAAAAATATAAACCCATAGGACTGATGCACAGTAAGAAATATGTTGACAATGGATGTAACTATGGCACAGAATAGATTTCTGAATATGGCAATAGGAGGCTCCCTAGATTCCTTGCATTCACACACACACACACACACACACAGACACACACACACACACACACACACACACAGACAAAATATACTAGATAAGTCACGATATATAATGTAATATAATCAAATAGTAATATTGTCTTATACATGTATTATAAATTATATTAAATAAAGACTAGTATTACATAATAATATATAAGTATACTATATATTAAATAATTTAGACAGATATAGGTAGGTAAGTAGGTAGGTAGGTAGGTGGATGGATGGATAGTTGGATGGGTGGATGCATGGATGGATAGCTAGCTAGGTAGACAATGTCAAATCCTCTGGGTCAGTATTTACCTCTGGATTCTTTTTGTCCATTAGACAGCATCATCTTTTGGTCCGCTTACTCCATTTAAAGTAAGTATTTTCACTGGGTCCAGTTAGAAGAGGGAAGAGATAAACTTATTCATTGGATTTCTCCCTCATATTTGGGGTCTTAAAATTCTAGGTTTGTTGTTTTTATTTGTTTCTGCTTCTAGCCATAAGGGCTTCACTCTGCTGGTAACACTCAGCTCCCCATGAGAATTTTCCTTTTGCTTTTGTTGCTGCTGTTGTTGTTAGCCAGCGGCGTTTTAGTTGTGGAAACAGATTATATGAAAACTGCAAAAAAAAAAAAAAAATTGGGGACCCTTTGTTTTGAATTGTGTGTTTACGTTGGCTTGGGGAGGATTAAGGTAAATGTTTTCATCAGGAAGCTTGAATCCACTACCTTAATCAACAAGCCCATGCTGCAAGTGCAACGAATCACTAATTCATAACTTTTGCAAGATTTGGGAAAGACATTTGTGGCTGGGTTTTATTAAAATAGATATCATATGAGTAAAGATAGTTGACCTTTTTATTTGAGCTTTCATTTTTCCTTTTTATCAGGAAGAGCATGTGTGTTAGACCTTGGAGAGGGGATCTAATATTTATACCTTGATATTAATAGAAATAGGTAATTTAGCAAACTTATTT